GTTGAAAAATCACCTTCCTACTAGATTGGTGAATCAAACAACAGTTGTTTCCTCAAAAGATGTTATTCACCAGATCGGTTTACATCTCAAACCAAGTAGAACTAACGATAAATAATTTCTGACAAAACAAATACTCTCTGTTTGAGCCATAAACGATGTATTACCGTGTCACTGGTTGTTCTCGTACGACAGTCAAATAAAGTAGCAGGATCGTAAATCCTGCAAAAGGAGTTTCTCTGATTCTTTACTAAAGTTAGACAGAAACTCTCATATTAAACAAAACGTTCCATTTGGCCAGTCTGATCTGGAACATCATTTGAAGAGCAGTTAGTCCTGTGATCCAGTAAGGCGATTGTCTCCTGTGTTCGTGTTTATAAAAGAGTGTTCATTTGTATTTCACTTCGTGTCCAGTCTTTATTTCATTTTACATTACAGCAAGAAGTGTAATATTACTCCGTAATTGGTATCTTGATCTCATCCCCAGTTATCTTCTCACCTATCCAGTGGATCTCTAAAGTTAAATCAGTTTCATCCGGATTTATCATAACATTAAGGGAATACTTACATCAATCACACATCTGAATATAGAACTTGTCTATATTGTAATGGGGTTGCTGGTTTGAATGAACTGTAACAATGAACAAGTACCAAATTTTGAGATGTACAGAACAAATGAATTCTAAGTTATAGTTGGGTACAGCTATGATACTAGTTTTTCATTCACAAACTTGTGGGTTGAAGGCTTGTTTGTAATTAAGCACAAAGCTACACAATGGGTTATCTGTGCTCTTACCACCACGGGTATCGAAAACCGGATTCTAGCGTTGTGAGTCCGCAGACATACCGCTGTGTCACTGGGGGCGGGTTAAAGGCAGGTGTGACTGGGTACCAACAGACGCACATGCTCATATCTTTTCGTCTTTAGAATTTGTTCCTCATTTTATAACAGAAATATTTGTAAAAGAGCTTGCTGTATCTTTGACCATAGATCAGCTCCATCTCCAGGAAAGATCTACTTCCGCTTAAACTTTGTGGACTTTTTTTACGATTAGTTCCTCTATTACTCGTATATTAAGTCATTCTTCACTTTTAAAATCTAGCTATTTTTATAATCGACTTAATAAAAAAAACTGTCAAAACGTATACGTGAAGAAAGAAATTACTTTCTGTAAGAACTGAAACTTTAGTTTAGAGAAAGGATCACAGAAACTCCTCAACTCGCCACAGATCATGGTCACAAATGAAATACTTCGCAAATCCAAAAAATAGTCACCAACAGTGACAAACAACTTCAATATGTTAATTATGTAAAACATTAAATTAGGTTTTAAACAATGTTCTATTTTTTATAGGATGGGCTTGTCAATTTCTATCAGCTCTTCTCAGTTTCAAATAGCAAATTGTATTCATTAAGATCATCTATTCAATTATATATGTTGTAATATGTATTTTCTACGTTCTTACTTTAATGTGGATACTTTAAAAAAAATCGTTTCATCCGAGTCTATGCAGTTATCGTATAAAACGTGGTCTAGAAAACCGTTCAGTAGATTTCATTCTAGTTACATTTGTTACTTTGTTGTTTTTCAGATATATTATTCGCGAATATATTACTTTAACGCTGCACTTTGTACAAGAAGGTCAATGAAAGCACTGTCCTTTAGAGGCAGAACAAATTACATCTAGAGGTTACGGTTTCTTCTATATGTTAAATGTGAATTGCCAGTTTGATGGATAGCGCGAATCGCTATGGGTAAATTCGATGTTTCCTTTTAAGTAAGGAACATTGGATTCGCACAGTTCTACCAGGTTTTAAAGCAAGTCGGTTGACTGGAAGGAATTCTGTTGATCAATTCACTGTTCCAGTAGGTGAACACTGTGTTTTATGCAAAATATACACACTGTACTTTGTGTCTAATGGTAAATGATGAATATTCATTTAATTTTACACATTTGTCCAGTCACATAGCTTAAAACTCAATCAGTTTAGTGAAACTCGGACCATTTCATAATTTATCCTGCCAATCCGGACATGGACTGGCCTGGTGGTTAGGGCACCCGACTTATAATCTGGGGATCGAAGCCCATCAACGAACTTGCTCGTCTTTCATCCGTAGGGGTCTTATAATGGCCAATGTAACAAAACAAATAATTCTGCCTATCTCCCCGTAATAAAGGCGGATCAACTTATTACTCTGCATAAATTTGTTTAACCTGAGAATACGGTATTGTCATAAAAATAGAAGCAGGCTTTAAACCACAGTTCATTTCCGAGGATAAATAAAACAAAAAAGGAATACTTTTAGTCCTCATGTAATAATACATCTGTTTTGACTATCAAAGTTTTCTTTATTAATCCATCTTAAACGTGTATATACTTGTGAATAAGAATGTAAACCCGTAATATGATTGAAATACTAATATATATACTATTCTTTTCGGAAAAATTCTAAGAGATTGAATACAGAATACAAAACCAATAAGCCTAATGCTATTGTCCTGTGAAAAATATAAATGATTATAAAAATATATATAATAGGCCTAGCATAATGTCTTATGACGAGTAATGTTAAGTATAATTAATTATATCCATGCCTCGCCAGCTTGTAAAAGGCGTTCACACACTAAACACTGCTGTTGTAAGAAATATCTTATTCCAAACAGTGTTCTGACCACTACTCTGTTCGCTGTATCTCAGCCGGACTGAAGAGCTCTGGATTGAACGAAATGCGTCCTCTGCAATTGATATGACGAAAACACTGTGGTTGAAATACTGTTAGTACAAGATTATTAAAGTTTTTAATTTAAAAAAGAGTGATAAAGATCTTCAAAAAATTACAGAAACAAAATATGTAGCTTAAAGTGAAAATTCAATCGTAAAAAAAGTAAACAAACAAGCTTAAGGTTTGAAACCTAGTGTTGACATTATTTCCTCAAGCTAAAAACCCTATTTTGATTCTAGACAAGTCTTATAGATTCATGCATATATACTCAATGCAAATATAAGGCAATGTGTCATAATATAATAGCAGCTGTCCGTATTTCCTCTTAAAGTGACTTTCTGCACACTCTACAAGGTCGAAAACATGCTAATTAACAATTATGAATTGATTATATTAATATACCACCCCTCCCCCTCCATTTCTGATGGAGTTTGGGTCGTGAAACTTCTACTATTCTCTTCCACTGTGACGACTCTAAACTCTCGTGGGCCATCACTGCTGCATACTTTATCTGAAACTAAATATTTTCTAAATAAACTATATAGCTACAAAATTTATGCTTCACTTTCGTCTAGAATCGTCATCTTCTACTTGCACGATACTGCCACTCCTTATTGTCAGCTTCAAGGATAGCTACTCAATCTGCAGCATCTACAAAATTCGCAATCACGCAGTGTTAGCTATAATTCGACACTTACCATTAGCCTTCACCGTAACTGCCGATTCGATGCTTGAAACTGAGCTTGTTGCTATCTTTTAAACTACGACTTAAATATTTCTGTTATGGAAAACAGCCTAGATATTTGTATAACCTTTTATACATTTGTATAACATGGCCGAAATCGATCATGCAGCGTCGTGTCTGAAAGGGCAGGAACACTGTATATAAATAAATGATAAGCGACATCAATACAATTACAACAATAAGTTAATAATCACTATGGTAGATGTGTCATATAAACATTAAATTACATCAACGGCCTGTACGCAGCTATATACCTATGCATGTAGTATATAATGAGGCTCCATATAAACCACAGACTACATTAAAACAATAGGGTGTGAACATTTATACAATCGATGTTATTTGCTAGGTAGTCAAATAAACTTAAAACTACATTACAAAACGCGCAATGATGCGTTTAGTAATACCACGCAGGTTTTATTACAATACTCACAGCCATGTTTACTGTAAGCTGATGGAACAATATTAAATAATAATATAGTAGAATAAATGGACAATCATTATGATGACATGATTAGGTGGTTAGGGCATTTGATTCGCAATCTGAGGGTCGCGAGTTCGAATCCCCGTCTCACCAAACATACTCGCCCTTTCAGCCGTGGGGACGTCATAATGTGACGGTCACTATTTGTTTGTAAAAGAGTAGCCCAAGAGTTGGCGGTGGGTGGTGATGACTAGCTGTCTTTTCTCTAGTCTACCACTGCTAAATTAGGGACGGCTAGCGCAGGTATGTCTATAAATATATCGCATTTTGTATATTTCTAAGAATAAGAAATTTATTATCCATATCCATATTTAAACAATAAGTCTTTTTTTTTATATTCATTTGTGATGTTAGTTAAATACCAAAATATTGGAAAAACGCTGTTCTGTCTTTTAGACAATTCTGTAAACTTTAACTCACTTCCGCTATCCTTTTGTTTTCTCAAATATTCATAGTAAATTACATTTGAAGAGGTTGAACGTTAATCCTGTTTTTGCCCCCCAGTGGCACAGCAGTATGTCTGCGGACTTACAACGCTAGAATCCGGGTTTCGATACCCGTGGTGGGCAGAGCACAGATAGTCCATTGTGTAGCTTTATGCTTAATTACAAACAAATAAATCCTGTTTTTTTATCTACATTCTAGTAATATAACTTCTAGCCCATTAAATCCTAAACATTAATACTTTAACTTCTGGCTTACTAATTGTAGCGTGAAACACTAAACATAATACAACTAGGTCACTTACTTAAGTTTTTCGGTTAGGTCAGCAGTAAGTTTATAGACTTACAACGCTAAAATCCAGGTGGATAGAATGCAGATAGCCTATTGTGTAGTGCATTTGTTTGAGTTGAGAATGTTTGGCATTTATATTATCAAAATTCTTTTTTTTTGTATTTTAATTCTTCAACGTTTCATTCTATAAAAATATTATAAAAATAACATTTTAGAAATACTTATTTTTATTTTTTGCGTTACCACTTCTGCCATAAACCCTTATTCACAGGAATGCTAGAAAGTCGAATTTGTAGAAAGCGGCCTCTAACGTAACGAGTAAAAAAAGACATGTTTAGGAGTTAGTATTAGGTGTGTACTTTTGTGAAATTTTATGAGATATTTTTAATTGAAATAGGTTTTTATTGTTTAGTCGCAACATTTGCGTAATTCAGTATTACTTTAATGTATAAAATATCACTTTTTCGGAGTTAAGAGTCTAGTTTTCATATTTCAAATGTTTTCCAATCGGCGAAACTATGCTCATGAATGATGAAGTTAGTTAGTTAGGCTAAGCCTTAAAAAAAGTTAAACTTTGGTGGTGGTAGAAACTGTAAACCTTAGCACAGTTTACAGTATAAGTCGTAATTCAGTAATCCTACAATTACAGAACGGTTTATGATTTTACATAGGTCTGCATCTTAATAGGTTGTAATCTGCACAGATCTACAAGTTACAACGAACCGGAAGTTAAGCTATTAAAAGAACATTAATTTGTAAAATGTCCTGCTGAAGAAGTGATTTAATTTTTGTTTATAAATTGTAAGATATTACCAAACCACTATTCATGTCATTACCACATAACTCCAACTTAAGTTTTGCTTCAAGCCTGAGGATCTGAAATTATTTGAAATCTTACTGATTAACTCTTTAGGTCTATACACAGACCTATTAAGATTGATTAATTACAAGAAGCATAAAATTTTTATTAACAAATCCTGTCAACGACATAAAACTGATGCAGAAAATTGGGATTGACCAGACTGGGCAATTTCATTACACAGACTCTGTAATAGCAAAAAGCAGAGATCTCAGGCCGACGCCAACTCCGAGTTTGGATGGTCTTTCTCAGCATGCATCTCGAAGAATGGGTGTAATGAGTGAAGCAGAGGAACAAGATAGAAAAACAATAAATGAATTTTGTCATCTGTTGGAGAAGTCCAAGCAACTTTTTAATGGTTTAAGGTGAGTTTCAGCATATAGTTTTTCTCAGTAAAAAGTTATCTGTTATTTTCTCTACCCTATCACTGTATGGATTCTGTCAATTTGATAAACCTTGTAACCACCACTAAAAAACAAAAATTAATTACCCCTTGTTTTTCTAGAATGACTACAGATTGTAACCGAAAATTACAATTATATATCCTGAACAGTTGAACTTGAACTTCAAGTTGAAGGCTCATAACAGTTTACATTGGTTTTTATTAATTTTTATTGCTCTTAGAACAAGGTCTAACAAGCTGTAACTCATACAGCAAACCCATAGTTCAGGTTACAGTATTGAATGAACTAGTTGTGAGCATATTTCATAAAAAAATATTATTTTTAGATATCTAGCTTAATCTAAGCTTATGTAACCTTGTAAGTTTATAATTTTTACATTTTGGTTACTTTTATAACAATATATAAAAAATATCCATAAAAAATGTTTATTTTCTGCTTTTGGCTTACTGATGAAATTTGTGCCTACTTTTTTGTAACAATAGAACTAGAACATAATATTTTTATATATTTTAAATATGATCTAAAGAATACAAAAAAAGAACACTCACAAAGCAAACAATATGCTATAACTATTATGATTTAACTAGCTTCTAACTATGACACAAGTGCCTTAAATAATTCCCTTAGCTGCTCAATTTGAAACTTGTAATAGCAACTTTTACCCTAGTGAGAACAAGGTAGCATTATATGTCATTTGGTAAGTTAAAATTTTGTGTTTTTTATTGGTTATAGATTGGTGTTATAGCAAATGTCAGAAACATTGGCATTTAATGAAAGAGAGGATGTAAAAGGAGGGAGTGGCAAGTGGATCTTACTATCTAGTTTATACCTACGTAAACTATGAAGACAGAAGGCTATAAAAATGAGGCTATGTCATAATAATATTTATACTATAATGAGTAATCAATGATAAACTCAGGACATCATAGAGTGGTAATGAAAAATATAAAATGGGCAAGTCTGAGCAAACAAATGTCACATTACACAGACAAAGAAAGATTAAGAATTTATTTAAATATGTCCTTTTGAAATTAAGAAATTAAAACGTAAAAATTAGATTTATTGACTAAGTTTTGATACCAAAACATTACTACATTAATAATATAGTAATTTAATAAAATTGTGTGTATAACTCCAAAAATCTTAACATGTATACTTTGACCTATCCATATCAGAGGGTTGATCATATAATAATCTCAATTTAATATTAAAAAGGAGGATGTATAGGTTTACTAACAACTACAAAAGGAAGTGAAAAAATGTTAAGACAAAGAGAGAAACTATGAAAGTTTTAATTTGAAACATTAAATTTGACTTGAAGACTTTTTATGCTTATCTTAACTGATAAAAAATGAAATCAGAGATAGAATTGGATCCTTAAGAAAAAGAAACATAACTGAAGAGCTTTTTTTTTATTGTTACAAGAGAAGAAAAGATTCTCAAGCTGATAATACATGAAAGAGATTTCAAAACTGATCTGTTTCTTTATTGGCAGAGGAGGACAGTTCCTTCAATCTTATGTTTTTTAAAGAAAAAGTTCAGGGATCTTTTCAATAGCATAGCTCTGGGCCCTGATGATAATTATCATAAAATGTACTGAAGAACAAAGAAATGTCCCTATTAATATCATTAATATATATAGAAAAGAGCAAAGACCTCTAAGGAATTCACTACTAACAAGGTTCCAGTTTGACTGGATCTAAGGAGTTATTAATCAGGTACAGTTAGTAACTTTTGAGTTTAGTGATAATAGTTGATGAGTATATGATACTCTTTTTATTTTATTTTATATAGATGTGGAAATGATAAATGACTGTTAGGAAATGTGTAGCCTAAGTTTAGACAACAGTGAGAATAACTGTTTGAGTTTTGGTATCAATTTGTGGAATATAAAAACATGATACTAATAAATTTGATAATTATATTGTTAGGGAAGTTAAAAAGAGTATTTATTTATATAAATTCTCTAAGCTTTTACAATGCATTTTTGGAATTAGGTTGGTTAGCATATTGAATATCATTGATATTGCTAAGTCTTGCTGAAATAAAAAAAATATTATATTTGTTACTGAGGAAGATATTAGTAAATTTGTAAGTAATGATAAACTATCTGTATAGGCTTGGTCACTTTGATTGACTTTGAAACCACCAGGTAACCATGAAAGTATAGATGATACAGAACATCAGAATGGTGACATTACATTAGCCAAAGTTTTTGTTATTAATTCTTAGGCCCCAGAGTATTTCTTTTGTGTATAGGCACATCTTGGAATTATACTCCTGTTCCATGTCTTACGTCCTCCCTTCCTTTACCTGTTTTTTCCACTAGGGATTCCACAGTTCCTTGTTTTTATTGAAACAGTTTTCATTGTTGCCAGCAGTACCAGTGACTATCCTGTGGGTTCCATTCTGGTGGGGGCTCCTTTGACCAATTTTGTTCACATATGACAAGAACTTGCTACCACTCATTAGGTTCTTCAGGTCTTGTTAGAATGACTTGTAATCCAGATCTTCTTCCCACCCCCATTTTATCCCATACCCATATCCTTTCCATTACCTTGGGATCCTATTACCAGTCAACATCTGTCAGAGTGGTACAATCCCTTCTATCACAAAGAGTTATTGAGCCTTTTAGCCATCCTTCTCCAGGCTGTTTGAAAACTGGGAACTGGCATCCTGTGATTGTTCTATCCTGCCTCAATAAGTCTCTGGATCTTCCCCATTTTACATTGGAGTCCTTTCTCACACTAAGGTGGGTTTTGCTCTCTGGGATTGTGGATGATCAAGGCTGACATCTCTTATGCCTAACTACACATTCCTATTTCTCATTGATGCAGATGCTATCTTCAGTTTATCCTTCACGAGGTTATGTACCCATTTCATGCCTTGACCTTTGGGCTTGCTTTGGTTCCGTATGTTATTTTGTTGACTGGTCAAGGCTTTTGGCTGACTTATGCATGCTTTGGGGTTGCACTTACACCACTACATGGATGATTGGCTTGTGTTAGTTCATTCCGTAATGGAGTCTTCATGTCACACTCATCTCCTTCTGTCAGAAGCTGCTTGAGTGTGTTGGATTATCAAGCTGAAGAAGCCTTTCCTGTCTCATACCCACTCTCTTGTCCACTCAGTTGCCCCTTCCTTCACATATTCAACTACATTCACTGGGGTTTTCAGTTCTTCACGCCCTTGCTGCTTCCTCTTTTACTCCTCTCAAGGTTCTATCCCTTGTGAGGACACGCTTCCATGAAAGCACTTATCCCCTTGGGTTGGGTACATATGTGATCTCTTCTGTAGACTCTGCATGACCAATGGAATGTTGCTTGGGATCCCTTGAATTCTCCCATTTCCCTTCCCTCATCGATAAGAAGCATTGGTGGTTGAACAAGGCTCACACATCATTGGGTGTACTGCTTTCTCCTCCTTACCTGGATTTCCATCTTTTCACCGATGCTTCCTTACAGAATTGTGGAGCATGGGTTGATCAGCAGGAGGCTTCCAGACTATGGTCTATGACATACCGGCCTTACCATATTGACACCTTGGAGCTTCTGGTGATATGATGGGTTTTGAATTACTTTCTTCCTCTAGTTGGGAATCGAATTGTCATAATCCATTCTGACAACTATACAGTGGTAAATTATATTGACCATCAAGGGGGTACCCATTTTTGTTCCTTTTATGGTCAAACTGTGGATTTATTTTTTGGGCCCACATGCTTGGGATACAACTCCTAGGCATGTCACATTCAGGGCTTTCTTTCTCAATGTCAAGTTACCTTTTTTTTGGTCTTCGGTTTCTCATCCACTAGTCCTAGCTGTTGATGCATTTATCCAGGATTGAACTCACCGATACCTTTATGTTTATCTTCCCATCCATCTTCTTCCCATGGGGATTTTGGATCGTCCATGCCACACCGTGTTGGGTTCTTCTGATTGCTCCTTACTGGCCAGCACAACCCTGATTTCCTCAACTACTTCAACTCCGTACTGCCCATCCATTCCCACCTTCTTTGTCCTTTGGAGAACATTCTTCATGCGGGCATATGGACAACTTCTCGTACGTTCATCTCCCACTATCGGGTGGCTGTTTCTTCCTTTTTGGGATATCTTCTTCCACTTGTGGCCATCCTTCAAACTTCAGTATGACTGTGACTGGGTAAGTTATCTTTTTTATATACCTTCTTTAAGGAGCATAACCCTTTTTTAATGTCAGGATCCCACTCTGTGGTGAGTATTGCCAGTCCAGGTATACTTAATGCATCACCAATCCTCACCATACGGCCGTGATTCTATCATAAAATACTTTATTCCATGGTCAGTAATGCACACTGCTGAGCTGGGTGTTCCACAGGAACTCTCATAGGTTTTTCCTTGCAATATATTTCCTTCATTATTATGCCCTTCCTGGACTGTACTAACCCATGGGCTTCATGGATATGGCAGAAGGGGGAGATATCGTCATCTACACTGGAAGAACACCATCACCCTACTCTTAACTAAATGGATACATTATTGTTTGTACCATATATTACTATCACATTTAGGAAGATGTCCCCGTGGTCCACCACCCCAGTGGCTTGGAACTGGTAATGACTTCCGTACTCCAATGGAACAAAAGGGGGGGGGGTGCAGTGGAAAGTCTGGAGGAATGCCAACAACAGAGACAGTACAATTTATTCAGTCTAAGGAATGGCAGGGATGGGCAGCTACTTCCAATCTTATGCTCCATCTCTACTGTTCTTTCCAAGGGGATATTGTGACTTTGGAGTGAGCTGTCAAAATTGCAGTTCACCCCTTCAATTGGGATTCCTCATCCTACCCCTACGTGGATGTTATTTCCCAGTGGCTGAGTTTTGGATTCAGAGCTGGACCAATCAACATATGTCCTCACACATGTATTACAGGTATCTCTGTTCCCTCACCTAATTGGATTAATGTTCACTGCTACAGTGTCGTGGG